CTTAAATTTTTTTATTTTTTATTTTTTTAAAAATAGAAAAAAGACTCAAATGGACTATAGATTATTATTATTATTTTTTATGAGAAATGTAGACAAACAAAAAATAAAAATTAATTGAAAAAACTATTTCACAACTAAACACTACTCAGCAACTTAAATTTATAATCCAACAGTTACACCAAACAGATTAACAACTTTTTATTAAAGTCATAATCTATAATCTGTTAAGCTATAATTTATAAGTTGTTTTAACAGCTACACCAGACGGGGCCATTGTAATAGTATGATTTATTAATCAGAAAAGAGTAATAATATAACAACATAATTCTTATGTAAAATAATTTGAACAATTTAAAGAAAAGTTTTAAGACAAACATATAATACTAAATTAAGGCGAGCAAATAGTTATTGCAGAAGATAAGATAGAATATATTATAAATAATTACTTTTATCCTTGTGAAGGAAATTCACAAGAAGAACTCACTACAACATATAAGAGTCTTAAAGACTAATTTTTTAGTCTCTAAAAGTGAAAATTTTGTTGCAAAAGAAGTTTAGAAACCAATTTCTATCGTCGTGAGGATAGTCGCTAAAAAGGCGTTTCAAAAATTCAAAAACAAGACTTTTAGCGACAAAATTTTAAAAATATCACTAATAAATAAACTTTTAGAAACAAAACAATTTGGTCTCAAAATAGCTTATTTTTTTAGACAAAAAATTTGATCCCAAAAGAATAGTAATTCATATCACTAATGTCCATTTTTAGTTGCTAAAAATATAATTACGACACTTTTCGCATCAGAAATATTTGGTTTCTAAAAAATAATTTTGACCCTAAATTTCGGTCTCTAAAATCTTAATTTTTTGTATTGACTTGCGTCCACTTTTTAAAGATATTATAAATTTAAGATTTTTCTCTAAATTTAAGATTTTTCTAGAATAAAATATTAATTAGGTATGGTCTTTTACTAATGGGGGGCCGCTATTATCACTCCACTTTGCTCAAAATATACTCTGTTCTTTGTCCTTATTATACATAATTACATTAATATACTTTCACACAAAATACACTCTTTGAAAAAAACAAAATTTCAAAGATATTGTCATTTTGTGCACTTACATGTTCACATTTGGTTGTAGTAGTTAAAGTTGACAATTATGATCATGTGTTACTTCCAATTGCTTAAGATGAATTGGGGTTTGAGATATGAGCGTGGGTTCTTGAAAATAAATAAAAAATAAAAAAGGGACTAGTTTGAGTTCATAACCTTTTTAACTCGAGTTATTAAGTTTGTTAAGGTATCTCTACACCTAGTGTCCTAAGTTTATCTAGATTGGGAATCATTGGCCTAACACTTTCTACATGAGTTAATTAGAAAGCTTAAGAGACTTAAACATTACATTGTCACACACA